TGGATATCGCCGTATAAGACTTCTGTTGATTATAGTTCTTTATTGTTAAACTGAAATCATTTAAATAAGAAGAAGTGTGTGTTCTTCTGGAACTAGCTGAAGATATCACACTGTTTATGTTTTCACTTCTTACTAGATTTGTATCAACTTTACTCAGATCAAAATGAAATATAGAAATGTTGATAGAAGTGACATTGCAGTTATTGACAATATAGTCCTTTTTTGATGCAACGATATTGTCTTATTATTTTATATCAAAAATTACTCTTAGCAAAAGTCTAGAACTCAAGTCAAACACTGGTTGAAAATAAATGCTTTTGTTTTTTTTTATTGTACTTTGGTTGTTTTACTTGATGATGAGGATATATAGATTCAAAATGCTCTCCTACATAAATTTCCCTTAGGACGATACTTATAGACTTCTTACAATTAGGCACTTTATGAGTGTAAGTGCTATACAATGAGTGTAGGTACTAAGAGAAATTTCCTCATCTGTTTTCTGAGAAGTTCTATTTTTACTATAACATATTACAGCTGTATTACTGAAACATCTGTCTTAATTAAATGCAGAAACAAGCGCTAATTTTGAATGCTTATTGCATTGTGTTTTTGTGATGTGTTGATTGCATATGTTTTAACTTAGGACTAATAGACGAGACGATTTAAATAAATATATTAAAACATAGAATTATTTATATTGTTTACCTAATGAATAATCAATACCGATTTCTAGTAGCTAAAAATGTTCATTAATCTGTTTTGTCAAACTGTTTATGGATAGTTTACGAAGTATTCTTATATTAATCAGCAATCAAGTGAAAGACATATGCAGACCAAATAGAGGAACTTTATTAGAACATATATATATAAGCACTTTTTTAGCACAAAACATATGCCATAAATTGAGTTGAGATGTGTGAGGAAGAAAAGGAAGCAAAACATTGCTTGAGTATATTGCTTTGCAAATCTCTAAGTAATGAAATAATTTTAAATATTTATTGCCTTCACTTTATGGTAAGATCATAAAATATTTTTCATCTTATTTATGCAAACGAAAAATTCTGTTTGGCCTTAAACTTTTCAAAAATCTGAATAAAATTGTTTTTATTATCCTGAAATAATTATAAACTAAAATAACCTCCAATTTTTATTTAAAAGCGCACGCGGTCATAGCTCTCCAGACATTTCAGCATTTATTTTCACTAGTTCCTCGGTATGTATTTCTTTTTATACGAACATCAATTGACCTTAGAAAGTGCAAATCCATTCAATTGAAAATACCCTCTAAACACCGAGCATCATTCATGCGGCTCACAAAGCCAAGAACTTTGGTTATTCAACCCAACTTTTTATATTTATGGATGTGATATCGTGAATAGTGAATTTGAGACCCACTATCTTCAGGCCGTTTTCTGATTTTTAAGATTGAGATGTTATGTGGTCTTTGTTTTCAGAAGGAATATATTGAGCAGATTTAAGAATTCAAAATATATTTAAAATTAATATTACAGAGGTTCTGAGTTATTGAAGCATAAACTTTAAATGTCCGTTTTGAATATCCATTTTCTGATAGCACTATCTTTTATATTAAAACTAAAGCTTTTACCAGAGATATAGATTTCTATCTATGCTTTTACTATGACTGTACGTAGAATAAAAATTGTGCACAGACTATATCTTTCGTTAAAAGAATCTTTTTTTTCTGTTGAATATGTTAGGATAGGATATAGCAACAATATAGTAGACCTTAAGAACGAACTTCATACACGAACTGATACGAACCTCGCACTTGTAATGAAAATGGTGAGGTTTTTTTAGATTTATATACTAACCGTTATTTGAGAATAACGGTTATGTTTTTCTTTATAAATTGAACTTTTATATAAGATGATGAAACATCAAAAGGGAAAACGTTAAGTCGAATTTATCACATCAATTTATCAAGTATTTTTAGTCGGTTATCCACTAAATGTGATAAATCCGACTTAAAGTTTCCCATTTTGATGTTTCATTGTTTTATATAATAGCTAAATTAATTCAGAAAAACATAACCGTCTATTCTGTATTCACGAACCGACTAAAAATATTTGGAATATAATAGAATATAAAAGGAGTATCAAGAAACGTACATAGTAGAAGAAAATATGTCAACCATTATAAAAAACATCAAACGTTGAGTAAAAATATTTAACATCTACTAAAGATAGACAAACAAAACTACTATAACCAACAGAATTGAAAGAGGTAGGTAATATTAAAGGTATTACAAAGACGAATACGTGAATTTGATAGAAGCAATATTAATTAATATTAATTGTATTAATTGATAATGGAAATAGTGATATCCGATAACTCCGAGATTTTTTTGAAGATTAAGATAAATAGGTGGAGTCAGGTTCAAAAAGAGTTCCAGCAATAATAATGAGTGTTATTAACAAGCCTGTATCCTAACTATGTCTACATAGATTTTCAAAATAATAACTATTCTTACCCCTTCAAATTATATCAGAAATGCATTTTATCTATATATACTGTTATTTGCCATGATATAAGATCACTTCCAAAATGGGAAGTTTATATCCGATATGAATGAAAAATTAGTTGAACCCATTTACGCTGATGATATAGTCATGCTATTAGACCTTCAAATTTACAGTAGTCAAATATTTATTGTTACTAATGAGGCAAAATAGCGTGGTCTGCTTTAACTAAAACTATAAGATTAATATTTAGTTAATAAGGTTAATTCTTAACTTTCCAATTAAGAAAATTGAATCATTAGATCAGCATTATAATAGATTTTTTAGATTTAAGTTTATAATAATCTATAGTAGCAATGATGTAGTCAACAAACTCAATTAAATGTTAGTTAGAATAAGGATGCTTTTACCAATTGTTGGACAATAGTCATTTTTAAGAAATTAACACTGACTTTCAGAAAAATTCATTTTTCTTCAATAGAATTCAATAGAATATAGAAGGCTTATTAAGAAACGTATATATTATTAAGAAAATATATGAATATGCATATATAACACAATAACATAATAGAGTTACAATCTTTTAAAGTATGTTATAATCAAAAGTGACGACAATGTATATATTCTTGATTTCAGTAGCGGTAGGGTTTACGTTACGAAACAAATCGCCTTTTCAAACGACTAAGTGCCGCTCATTTCTCTTGACAGGCGTTCAAAAAAACAGGTAAAGCATTGTTTTAATATTTGTTTTGTAATACATTGTTAGTCCTGCTTTCAGGGCTTAGATATGGATTATAACATAAATAGCTATAGCAACCATTCGATATTTTGAACGACTAAGTGGCGCTTACTTCTACTGACAGGCGTTGAAAAAACAGGTTTAAGATTGTTTTACTATTTGAATTCTCTCCAGACATTTCAGCATTTATTTTCCCTAGTTCCTCGGTATGTATTTCTTTTTATACGAACACCAATAGTTAACCTTAAAAAGTGCGTTGAAAGGAGTTGAAAAAATAGGTTTAAGATTGTTTTACTATTTGACTTGTAATTTAACCATTGCCCTGTTCCAGTTCTTACATATGGATTACAACATAAGGGTTATAACAGCCAATTAACTTTTTGAATGATTAAGTGTCGCTCAATTCTACAGAAAGAGACTGAAGAATAGGGTTATTTTAATATGTCTTGATCCCGTCTTGTTCCTGCTTACAGGGCAATCACATGGATTAGAACATAAGTGTTTAAACAACTATTTCTGACAATGACAATATATGTATATCGTATATGTATACTTACGTTAGTTGGGGATAATCTGAGGTGTTTGTAATAACAATTACATATAGAGACAGGTCTAGATCAATGAAAACACTTATACAAGGCAAATGTTGTGAATCCTACTAAATCATAAAACTTGGATTAGCCTTCATACAAATACAAATCTAAGAGAATTTAATGAATTTGAGTTGAAGGTCTATGATAACATCTCCAATACAATTTATTCTGAATTTGGATATAAATAAGTTTTATGAATGTAAGACATAGCCTGAAATAAAAAACAAACCAATAATGATAATATACTTCATAGAGAGCTAACATTATTTGAGTATTTGGAGTAATTCACCGAGAAAGAAAGCATATAATTTCAAGGTTTCATCCCACGCGCACTACATTGATTGCCTCAGGAGGAAATTATTGTAGTGTTTTGGATCGCAACTGCTATATAAGTTGTGGGCGCTGTAAATAATTCGGTGAGAAGTCAGAAGAAGTAGAGGCGTGAATAATACCAGAGCGTCTTACTTGCTCAGCTGCCGCTACGAATGCTACGAAATTTTGTTTTTAGGTCATTGACCAAACTTTAAACGGCACTTTCGCTCTACTTTTCGTGCGCGTTTTATTCATTGACAACTAATGACGCTGACGACTCTATTATTGCCGCTGCTGTTGTTGCTGTTGTTGCTGTTGCTGCTGTTCTCCCTTACAAACCAATAGCCATAGCCATAGCCATAGCTATAGCTATAGCCAAAAGCAACAACAGTAAATGAAAAATAAACAAAAATTGTTTTTAAAATTACATTTTGGCTTATGGCCCATGCATATTTTTTTCAACCTTTTTTAATTTTGTGTTTGTTCGAGTTTTTCTATTATTTTTTAATTATTTCTTTTTTCATTAATTCCATAATTTTTTTTATTAGTTTTGTTGATTTTGTTTGGCATTTACCTCTTGGATTTAAAAATCCGTTTTGGGCGTATTACGTCATTTACAAAAATAAAACACAAAGAGCGGCAGAGCACGGAGCTAAGGCATCGACAAATCGGTCAGGTATGAGAGGGGAAGAAATGAATGGATAGCGTGGGACATTCATCTTTGTTTATAGCTTTCAATATTTTTGGTGTTATTAGATTATTTAGATTATTTGGTGGTTATTTATTTCAAATTTTTTGCCTTTCTTGCCATTTTTGCCGATTTAAAATATTTTGTTTTATATTTGGATTATAATTGAATATTGATAACTATTTTACCTAAAAAATATTTTGACCATTCTCATATTGATGCAGCTTGGCTAGCAGGAACCCACAGCGAAAGATGCAAGTGCTTAGATATGTCATTGGGAGTTGCATTAGCTTGACAGCATAAAATATTACTACTACTAACTACAGCAACATCATTGGGTTGGAATAGCTCAATATTTCATGCTGCCAACATTTATTTACGATTGTTGTGAAGTGGATAAACACTTCACTAAATAGTTGAATACACGCACAAATCACAAATACTTTTTAAAATAATTACGGCTAATAGTCACAATAATTTTGATATTTATATTTTAGACATCTTATGTTTTAATATTATACGTTATTAAAACATTTTCAAATATAAAATAAAAACACACGACACTAAAAACCCAACAAATGTACCAGACTAACACGAACTGAATGTCAAAATACCTGCGAATGGCGCTGTGAACGTAAGCTGTCAAAATCTGGCATTGACTTGGTGTGAGTCCCAACTAAAGGCAGCCCATTATAAATAGTTGATAAAACAAACATATTTAGCAATTATAACTTAGCAGTTCTGTGTTATAGACAAATAAGACACAATTTGAATTTACATACTCAAATATTATTATACACTCCAACGTAAATATATACTTATGTAAAACCTAGAAATATAAACTCGGTTTTGTTTTTTTAAGAATTAACTTTTATTTCGATCGTTATTTTTAGTATACTTCTATACGTATTTCGGCAAATTCGTCTTTGTCTTAATGAGAAAAATTCCTAATATTGAAATATATTAGAAATATACTTCTTTTTAAAATTCCAAACATGTCTTACTAGCAAAAATCTTACTCATAACTTTGCTAAATGCATTTTTAGTTCGAGTACATTGACGGAAATAGTAAATTATGTCGGTATAGCAGCGACTGTTGGTATTTACCAGAATATCGAGTAGCGTAAATTGGATAAAAATTAGGTATTACCATTGTGAAAATTTTATAAGATGTTTAATAAACAAATAAATATAACTACTAATAACTACTTTAATCTAGATTCACTTTTAGTACAATTTTCGTTTTCAATTGGTAAATCTTAAATGAAATGTATAACATTCAAAATTAATTTGTAACACTCTAGGTGTTTGGCCAGAGTAACAAGATTATTTTTAAATTAAAAGCTATTTTATATGACTTGACAAATATAGCGTGAATTCATGCAATATAACCATTTATGGAAAATATAAATGTTTAGTAATACTATTAAAAAAATGTAAGATTACTCTAAAAATTTTGTTTTAAATTTTTAAGTCGTTACCTCAAAAATATTTTAAAGCCGGTTTTTGTTTTTCAATATTTAATCTCTACAGGTGTTTCGACAAATTCACCTTTGCCTTCATCAGGAGAACTTCTAATCCCAATATAAACTAAAAGTTAAAATTTTAAAAAACAAAAATCGACTTTCATCTAAAAATGTTATACGGCGTTTACATTGGCCGAAAATGGCTCATTTTGGTCAAAAATCGAAAATGAGTATCGAATGGCTCATTCTTGCATATAAAATTTCAAGCACAAAAATGAGCAATTTTCTCACATTCTGTATGAATGACGTTCGAATGCATTCCACATACGTTCCAAATGCAAAGTAATCCATTGAACATACCCTAAATGAAAGCTCTTCATGGCATTTTGACAGTTTGAAAAAGCTGTTTTTAACATATTTACAAAAAAAGGTAAACAAATGTTTGGTGGTTGCATTTTCTTGAAAACGATGCACTGCTTTTTAAAACTTTTACTTCCCAAAAAGTAATTAATCGAAGTTAAAAATATGTTTTAAGTTTCTAATGTAAGGTTTGAAGGCATATTTAACCTTCATGCAAAATTTTTTTGGCACAGGCCAAAAATCAAATCAACATGCAAGTTGCAAAATCAGCTGTTGAAATGAGAACAAATGAAATAGAACGAATGTAAACACTTTCAAATGGCTCATTCAAAATGAGCCATTTTCGGCCAATGTAAACGCCGTATAAATCTATATTGAAATCAGATTTACCAATCCAAAACACAACAATTTAATCGTGCGTAGTATAACTTAATTCACACGAGAGTTTTGTTTGTAATTTTATAAAAATATATTACAAATTTTAATCTGAAAAAAAAATTGTTTTTATAATTAATATGATGAATTTGGTGAGTTAAACGAATAGTACGTTCAGATTAACGAAATTATTTTGATAAATGTGCAGCGATTTATGCTCTTATTTTTAAATAAAGTTAATATGAAATCCATAATTAAATCATTTAATGAAATTTTATTATTTTAAGAGTACTTTTCTTCTTTCGTTTCGTTTCTACTTATAAACTGAAATTTGTAACATTATTTATAGAATTTAGTTCTTGTATTTATTATCATTTAGTATATATAAAGCAACAAGCGCTAATTTTTATATAAAATTAATATAAATTCCATTATTAAAACTTTGAATTAAGTTTTAATAATTGTAAGTGCGCTTCTCTTCTTTCGTTAAGTTTCTACTAAGAAACTGACAAGTGCAACATAATCTATTGAGTGTAGTTGAAGCCATTTACTACTATTTAATACTTTTTTTGCACACAGGCACTCTGTTAGCAGCTGTCATATGTTGTACAAAAAAACTCTAAGGGGAAAGGTTGTCGGAGTCAATTTGTGCTCACAGCGCTTGATGTGCTGTGTTTGGTAATTAATGTTGAAAGTGCGAATGAATTTGGGGAATTAATTCTAATTGTGGAAATATGGCATAAGTGTTGTGCATATATTGTGCATGTTATTTTAATGTGTTCATTGCTATCAGTGTTTTTACAAAAAAATCTTTTTGCGACACCCTTAAAATATATAAACAAAAGTTTTGTACGTATGTTTTGAATTAGAAAAAAGTAAATTTATTTGCCTACGAGAATCTAATAAATAAAAATGTCAAATTCACATTACCGTCCATTGGATACAGAGGGCACTAGCTCCAAAAATATAGGAAACGGTTACGCGTTAAGATCGACTTCGTCCGCAATTCGGTATCATTGGTCGAAAAGTACTTTAACACGTAAAATCCTGGCATTTGGAATGCTCGTCTTTATGCTTGTAGTGTATTTAGTTTGGTGTGCGTTAGCAGCTTCCAGTCGAGAGGAAATCAGCTATGCAGGTAAATCAGTGCTCATGGAAATTGACAAACGTCGGTTAATTCCTTGGAGACATAAAATATTAACAAGCATATTTATGTAATTGTTTTATTTTTGTAATGACAGCAGTCAATTTGTATGTATCCTGCAATTTGCATATATCCCGCAATCAATCATTGTGCATTTATTTGTTGCATTTAATTCTGGGCATTGCTTTTGTTACAGCTGCGCCGTATCTAAAATTGCAGCGCTCACGCCAAACTAGCGCCACCTCTGGCTTCTCCCGAACACAATTCTCTACCTACAGCAATACCCAAAAACCAACAACTAGGATGGCCATGCACCACAAAAGCTTGCCAAGTGAGTAGCCAGGGGTTTGTTTGGTTGCTTAACTGATGCAAAAATTTTTGGCAGCATGTATATGTTGTTTTTGTAATTATGCTTTTTTTTTTTTGTTTCGTTAACTTCACTTTTAAATATTTCATTTCTTTTTTATTTCATTACATTAAGACACATTCTAAACAAAAAAAATAAAAATTCAAAAAATTAAATTAAATTCCATTTGGTGTTTTCGAATATGTGTGCTTATCTCTCGGTTTTGGAGTTCTTGCAACTGCTGGAAATAACTGCCAAACTGTACAGTTGAAGGGCAAGATAAGCTGACATATTCTTCAGCACATTTCTATGAAGTAAAATATTTATTTATTCCAAGAAATAAAAAATAGTAATTTCTGAATAAAACCATTCCATAAACATTTTTAAAGTTAAAAGTTTATTTTCATTTCTATTTTAGCACTTTAACATGTTTGCATCTATCTAATCATCAATTTAGTGTGGGATTGGGTCATTTGTAAATATGTATATAACATTGTATTAAACCTTTATCCTCCACGTCGCCCGTCTCTCATTTGTTGTTGTTCGGAGTCTACATCTTCTAATTTTGATTTGCATGAATGTGCGTTGCCACACTTTCACTTTTATGACCATTAAACGTTTATGGGCGAATGAAATTTCTTTAGTTTTATACTTAAATTTTACTAAATGACTACACCCTTCGCACTAATCTGAAATAGTGTATTAAGTTTGTCATTCTAGCTGCAATACATTAAAAAACTAGTTGGAAAACATGTTCCTAATTAGTGATTGATAGTTGAATTTAACAAAGTGAATATGTGCGTGTTTTTGGCCTTGTTGTAATCCGGAAGGATTTGCAAAGCAGACATGAAAACATGAAAGGAATCGTACTTCACTGTGTAACTCCTTTTGCAATTGGCGTATGACACTTGGTCGTCAAACCCAACGACTGACTCCAAGACGTGGATCCCGCTGTTCTTGGAACCTGAATATGTGTTTATAGAGTAACATGTAGAGTTAAAAACGAATATTTTTATCAAGCAACAAACTTTGAGAAAAATATCGATCAATCACTCAATAAACTCAACTGCAGTTTAACGTCCATGAAACTGTTACAACATGCGTGCCAATTTGAGTCATATCGATTTATGGCTCCTTCCCATAGAGTCGAAAAGCGTTACCTTCATAATAATTCTAAACTGTTCCAACATACATACCAATTTAGCAACGTCTCTTCATTTTACCCTAGGTCAAGTTCAATCATTTACACCCATTCTTCTACTTCTTCTCGTACCTAACTTTTTCAGACAATTCTCTTCTATTGCTTTTGTATATGTAGCAAGGCAAGACCTTTATGTGTTCGGTTTCTAAGATTCGACTGTTTATTAAAACAATCACAACATAATTTAATAAGTTCATGGGTTGTTTAATGAAACTATTTTTAAACAAAAATCAAAATTTTATTTTTCATTAACATTTATTTTAATTGACTTAAAAAGAACAAAAACACTTTGCTGAAGCTTCAATGCCCTTCACACAATAAGATAAAAAATAAGAATCTTTTTCAGTAGTTCATTTATATTGGCAATATGCTAATGACTTTATTTACCTTGTTTCACATGTAGTCTCTTATACAGCCAAAAGAAAAAATTCATTCACCCTCCTATATCGATCCAGAATACATATAATTTGTATCTCACGTCCCCATTATCACGCAGTAAACATGTTGATAAATTTAATATACCATTTTCGAAATTTTCGTGTGAAGGGTACAAATAACACTTTGTGTAGTGAATATTTTTTAGTGAACATTCTTTTAGTGAACATTTTTTTAGTGAACATTTTTTTAGTGAACATTTTTTTTGATGCAAACCTCAGTTTCAATCAAGTTGCGGTAGGCTAGACTATATTTGATTATTGTGGCATATTATACCCATAATCAATTAGGCCAAAACTAGGTTGCTTATTGTGATATCTGTACATAATCTCAATAAAAAATAAAATATATTTCTTCAATCGACATATCAAGTAGTGAAATCTTTTGAAAATTTTCAAGACGCACTTAATGTTTGAAGTTATGATACTGTATAGGTTGCTGAAGAATATGATCTTCATGTTATAAGTGCTCTACTAACTTTTCTTTCATTTTATTATGACGACTTAATAATATATACATATACAATGTAAAAGTTCGTTTTTATGAATTTGCTCAAGCCGCTTATGAATACATATAAACAGTATAGGATGTTGTAGAATCATTAATTGTGATTGTAATACCTTTTCCTTTAAAATATAACAACTATTTGAATTTTTATTGTTATATTTGAGTCACATCCCGTAGTGTCATAATGGTCCATTTTTCAGCTCAAATGGGCTTTGGGCACAAAGCTGCCACTCCAACCTAATCTATTTAGAAGGAGACACTCAGGTACTATTATTGAGGTCACATACCATATTGATAGATATTTCATGATATTTAGATATATGTTAGTGAAGTTATTGTGTGTAAACTAATACTTATTCTGAATATGAGTATCAGCTTTTTGCATGGCTTCTACATTCATAATACACTTTTCTTTAATAGTTCAATGTATTATTTCGAGGAACTGTAGTCCGTAACGTGCTTAATTAACTAAATACCGGGAATAGTTAATATATATAATGTGATTTTGGTCAAAAAATCTATTACAACCGTTGATCCATTGATCCATTGATGTTTTTGATATTTAATATTTCAATATTTAATATTTTGATATTTAATTTCAATTCCATAAAATTGATTTTTGCTGTTCTTAAAATCACATTCTTTTAATCTCACAAGTGTCACTATGAGTTTAATTCCTCAAATAATATTCTTTGCTAAAAGTTCTATCAGGTTTAATATTAAAATATGAAAATCTTGGTATTTCGACTTTATTCGTTTTTGTATCGAGAACCCACACATACCATCGTCCAAATATGATAAAGGATTTTCCTTACCAATGCATATTACTACCAATAAATAGCCTTACCATAAACGACTATTGGTGAAAACGTCTTGTTTACTTTTGATTCCTTCTTATATTACATGCATTTTAACTTATTCATTAAGGTTTCCCCGATTAATTACTGTTTATTTTAAGAGCAGTGCGTATTAGGAAACCTAATCGAGTGCACTCTAAAAAAATTGTGTGCTTATGCTCGTTCTTATGACAATTTCTTCTTTTTAGCTAAATATTTATAAAGGATAAATTTCGAATTGTTTGTGAATTACTTCAAACAAATCTCAATTGCTCTGAGCTTACAACGGACTCGGTAAGAGCTATACTAGTTTAATAATATCAGTAGCTTCTGCTTAAAAGATACTACAGCAGATTCTAAAAAATGTGATTATTCTCATTATGATAAGAGATAGCGTTATTTATAAAAATAATCTCACTTCTTTCTATATGATGTGATTTATAGTAGATGTATTCAGCCGCATCGAAATGTGATAAAAAACACAAGTCGCTTGCTTAAAGTCTCTAATTTTTTGCGTAAAATAACAACAACACTCTTTCGATCTAACAGACTAGTTATGAAGTGTTCCGGCATGTTAGAGATTGTAGAAAAATATTTCTAAATATTCGGAATATTTGAATATTAAATATTGAATATTTGAATATTCCAGTCATCTATCAATAGTTGTTCATAAACAAAAGTTCCCGACAACATTAGAAACTACTGTCTTAAAACTATAGACAATTTTTGAAAAATAATGGAGTACAAAGCACATTGATTTTTTTAACATGCTTAGTTGCTAATAAGTTTCTGTTTATTAAAGTATAAATGTTTTTAATTATAATTACTTTGTTAAAAGTTCATGTTTAGAAAAAATTAATTGCACTTTTTACGGATATGAAAAATCTGATATTATTATTTAGTTTATAGTTTACACGCTTATTGAGCGTGTACTTAATTTTTCACTGAATTGAATTATTAATTAATCAAAACTTAATTTATTTGAGAAGTTATTTTAAAAAAAAAATTTTTATTTTTACTACTGCTTCAATCTTCTGAAGAAACTATTTCTGAAATCGTTGCTATTTTCTCCTAGTGTTTTATTTCAAAGTTTCTTAATTAATTAATTTATTTCTATACAAACTATAGTTTGCTTGAATTATGTGTACATATATAAAACTTGTTCTTTGCGAATACAATATTTGACAGATTGCAATAGTGATACCAATATTTCACTTAGAGACTTTAGCAAGCGACTTGTTGTTTTTTGCCACACTTCGAAGCGGCCGAATACACCTAGTATTTAACAATTAGGCGATTAGTAAAAGTGGTTAATGATTAATTTAAATGATTACTTGTTTGCGGCCAATAGGAAAGAGAATCGGTAAAATGTCTTAAACAGTATTTTCAAATATGGAACATGCGTCCTAAATAGGTGTATTTTGATTGTTATGAGAGAAAATTAGAAAATAGGCGTAAAGAGACACAGTTAAATTTGAAATAATGTAACTCATAATAACTCACCCAAAAGCGATTTTTGGGAGAGATAAAAAATACAGTTGGTTTTTAAACAAAGAATATAATGGAATTTACCATCAGCGTTCTATTTTGGCACCTTTCAATAAATCTTTCAGGATTTGGATATTTAGTTTTCTAAATTATATATTATTTTATTTCTATAAAATATCAAATTTTTTCTTGATCAAGAACTTAGACGAAATTGAAAAATTTTCATAACATCATTATTAATAGAATTACAGATATCTTGAGTAGTTGAAATTAGCGGAATTGGTCACATTTCTAAATCAGCAAAAGACATCTTAGATCCTTACTAGATTCTAGCTCTTAGCTAACTGGAGACCAGTTAGCCTATTGCCAGTAATTAGAAAGACAACAAAAAAAAATCCTACTAAATAGATTTAAATACTACAGTTAGCGATCGCTTCTAAAATGCTTTAAAACTATTCTTGAAAGTAATATGCTATATTTCAGGATTTTTCAAAATAATAAAATGACTGCATAGCTTT